GCCAATGCGTAGATAGCTGATTAGCTTAGAATATGTATACAGTGGATGTTCTTTTTTATTTGCATATCCAATCTCGCACGCTGAAATGTCTTGAGCTAGCGATGGCAAGTCGAAACTGTTGCCAGTTAACTTCTAGCTTCGTCCTATTTCCAACCTCAGCAAATATCCCTCTTTTGAACCCATATAGTTCTGTATGGCCTCTAAGCATTTTGTTTGAAATTGCTAGAGTAAAGGTGCTCACTGCTCTGCTCTATATTATAATCTGGGCATGAAAATTGAGTTATGTCGGTATGTTACACAAGGATTTCAAATACATTATGATCTATCTGACAGTAATGGAGTAATTGATACACCAATGGTGTGATCTGAGGGTCGGTAGACCGCCTGAAACACCGGTTCCCGTCTGAAAATTCCTGCTTCGAAGCCCATATAGAGGTGAAGAAAATTTTTTCATACAGAATTACTCAATGAACACACATGTGTGCGTGGACGTATATGGATACCAACAAGAAGAGCTTTTTGATGATTTCGTATAAAGAGACGCTATAATAGCTATCTTCTATAGACTATTAATTGTCTTCTCCATAACAGATCCGATAGGAATATCGCTGGTTATGTTGGCAAAGCTCTTGATCACAGCATCCTTCGCCGTTGTATGGATCCACTCAAGCGAGATTTTCCCAACTCATTTACGCGTGACCTACACATCTCTCTGTATGATGGTATCGAGGACATTCCAGCTAGGGATCCCTCAGATTGTTTACCTGGCATGTATACTGCTTTCTTAATGCTTACTGTTATCTAGACCTATATATAACGTTTTGTGCGTGTTTGTACGTATGTTTGTATGCGTGTTTGTACGTATGTTTATATGCGTACGTGTACGGGAACGTGTAAACATACGAGTACTTATTGTGTACCGTACGTGTACATGCACTGTGCATGCAGGTGCAAATCAAGAGGGAAAACATCAAAATTGTATTATAGCTTAAATGCGAAGTAAAGTACTTCAAACTAGTAAACGTGTAGACAGAACTCATCGGTTGGCATTGTACACGCTTAGGTAGTTACATTGGTTAATATTATTCATTGTTAGTGTTTGTACGAAGCATGTGTGTTCTGTCGTTTTGTCGATATAACGATCCTGCTTAGCCTATCAAAGGCACACAGTTGATGTGCGTGTATGTCTTGTCTATCCAGTTTTGCACGTACATGTCTTTCGGTAGCGATGTCAAGTTAAATGTGAATGTAAAGGCCAGTTAACTTCTAGTTTCGTTCCATACCCGCCTGATCAACAGATATCCTTGTTGTATCTAACCGGTGCGAAAGCAGAAAGAAAAATGCGCATGGGCACACAGGTTGACTGCACATACAAAACAATCAGGTTCAACATAAAGTTAACAATAATGTCATGTCATACAGGGACACCGTAAACACGCGTGTGCGTGTTTATATAATTACTAACAAGACGTGCGTTGCATTGATGTCTTATGAAGGAAAGCTATATAACAGATAACTGTGGGCTGTTGTCTTTTCCATAACAGATCCGATAAGAATATCGCTTATTATGTTGGCAAAGCTCTTGGTCACAGCGTCCTTCACCGTTGTATGGATCCACGCAAGCGAGATTTTCCCAACTCACTTACGCGTGACCTACTCATCTCTCTGTATGACAGCATCCAGCGCATTTCTTCTAGGAATTCCTCGGATAGTTTACCTGGCATGTTCTGCTTGCTTGCTTGTTTAGCCCGGCGCACACTTGAGTAATTTTACTCAAGTAAAATGATGCATGCGTCAAAATACAAGCAAGCAATAGCGGATTTTCGTTGAGTTTTCTGACTCATGCATCAAGAAACTCAATATCAAACATGTTTAATATGCGCGTCAAAATACTGAACGTGTGCGCGCTAGCTGCGTAAATTTACTCAACAATGGTACTCACAGCGCATGCGTTTAAATCATTTTAAAGATGACTGCGCCCAATATTGGCTGCGCACAGTCACGTGATCTACATTACCACTTATACCTGAGTAATTTTACTCACGTGTGCGGCGGACGCTAAAAATATTTCGCGTGAGTATTTTGACGCATGCATCATTTTACTTGAGTAAAATACTCACGTGTGCGCCAAACTTAATGCAGTACGTAGGCTTGTGCGTCTAAGTGTGCATAAGTGTACGCGTTGCTATGTATAGCCAGCTATGCATGTATATATATATTAAACTACGTATATATATTATACAATTATTGTTGATCGGCATAGTATAGCTATTGATAGGTTCTTGTCTCCGTTTCAGACAAAATTAGCTGACTTAAATGATGACTTTCTCAGACGAAGTAATTAACGCGTTAGTTGGGCTTTGGCAGGCTACATACAGCGAGGCGATCCCGCTCATCACCTTCGGCGTTGTCGCCATCGCCGGAGGCTGTCTCGTGCTTTATCTGCCCGAGACGCTCAATGAAAACCTGCCAGAGACCTTAGACGAAGCCGAGGAGTTTGGAAAGGAACAGAAATTCTGGAGTTTTAAGCTAAAGTACGTATGAGCTCAATCGAGCCGCGACGCCCCTGCACCATAGCTGGCGCCTACAATTCCACTGATGTTTTATTCGTATATATAGATTATATATAATGATCATATTTTCTATATTATGTACTATATACGGGTTATACTCGGCCTGTCCATCAATTCATACGGATGTATGCACGCACACACAGACACGCACACACAGACACGCGCGCACACACACACACACACACACACACACACACACACACACACACACACACACACACACACACACACACGCGCGCGCGCGCGCGCACGCACGCACACACACACGGAGACACTTCCGCCCCCCACACACACACACAAATATATATATAGATATATATATATATATATATATTAAATAAATAAATATTTATATATATATATATACTTATATATATATAAGCGAGACGAGAGAAGGGGGGGATGAAGATATATAATAATTTGGTTGCCAACTTTGTGTAATTTGCTATATGTAAGGCTGAAACTAACACTGAAGCACTACAAAACCACAAAACCATACAGCAGCAGTATTCATGTATGGTGGCCAACATTATGGCCAACATACATAAGTGGAGTGGCTGCGTGACCTTGTGGTTTGGATAACCCAGCCACTAATACTGAAACTATACTAAAGCCTGAGTTAAGGAGAAAATGGAGCAGGCAGTGAAGGAAGAGACTGCGAGAATGTAGACGAGGGGAGAACATAGAGAAATGCGGGGTGTGTAACGTAGCTGAGGTAAAGAAATGGGAGATGGTAGAGAATGGGGAAAAGGTGCAGAAAGGAAAGATAAAGGAGGTTACGAAATTAAAGGTGTAGATGTAGTGATTAGAACAAGGGGAACATGTAGAAATAAAAAGCTGCAGGGTGGCAGAAAAAGGCGAACACGGTGACAAAATATTTGCGTGTTTCAGACCTGCACCCGACAAGGATGTAAAGCACCGGGTAGGTATGGATGGGCACGTAGAGGTGTACGACCCACCAGCCGTACAAGGAGACGGAAACACAGCTTTACAACGGTGTGGACGCGCCAGCACATGAGATGCACCCTCTCGCTACCGACTGAAAAAGCCTCGTGAAATGTGTCACGCCTTCAATAGTTAGACGCGCACCATAGATTTATGGCAGATGAAATGAGCTGGAAATTATCGTGGGTGTCGTCGAACGAACCGTGGTTTGTTTCCGGGTTGAGATCGCTTATGATCGGGTAGATTTGTAGGCGTTCCGGCGCCTTCGGATGATTCTAGGACAACTACCTGGATAATCGCACATAATTAGCGAGATTGACACTCAATCATATCTCTATATGTAGCAACCCTAAACAGTGAATATCGAGTTTACATGAAAGGAACGAATGAACTCAAATAAAAGTAAAGAATCGATTTTAGGGAGACTATAATATTCTTTAGAGTACTCTATATTCTTTTTTTATATATCTTACTCTATAACACCTACAACGTTTAACTCAAAATGTTTCCATAACACTAACCGCCAAAATATATGCGGGTTTTGTATGAAAGAAGACGTTTGATGGTTTTTGCGTAATAATTTTTAATTCAATAATTACAGGTTCCAATTTTTACGAAATTCAATGATGACATTTTAAATATATTTACTTAACCCATAGAGATATTTGGCTTATAATATGCTACACCCATTAAACATCGGTTGGTGCTGCAATCACCAATCGGGTGAGTATGACTGACTAAATATTTGACACAATACACATGCATATCACATCACAGTAAACCCTCCATATTCGCGTGTACAGCACTCGTGGTTTCCCATACTCTTCCCCTATGTTTCACTCTAGTGACGATGTTGGAACAGAAATATATTATTATAGAATCTTGAACTTCAGAATCAATTGATTACATAAGCAAATTTCTAAATACAAAATAATATACATTGCAGTCATTTGATAGGTTATTATTTACACACATCTTTTAACTTATTTGACATATTTACCTGTTATTTGACATATTTAGAACATAGTATATGGACTTGTAAAAACAACATTAGTAATGACATACAAGCCACCAGAAGGACATTATGTTATATCACATAATTTTGCAGTACAAGCATCATACCTGCATTGATAAAAAAATGGTTACGATGAACAACACTTTGACAAACGTCCTATATGAAACGCCTGCTGGGTGATGTTATAATGATGAGTTTCGTGAACACTGAACACAGCTCCTGTTGTTATTCCAAACCACACAATGTTATCGTGATACTTTGGGTGATACTCCATTAGGAGTGTTCCCAACTTTAATGTCATTAATGGTCATAATAACATATATATATATATTATAGAAATATATATATATTTATATATAATATATATATATATATATATATGGTCATGGTCATGGTCATGGTTATATATTAGTTTGTGGTTTAATGTTATTTAGGTTTGGGTTGGGGTTAGGGTTAGGGTTAGGATTATCAATCATTAATCATTAACCATTAATCATTAATGATATCAAAGTTGGAAACACTCCTAATGGAGCGTTAGCTAGCTGATACTTTCATACTCGCGTAAGCATCACTTAAATACATACAAATAAAGCAAAATACAATTTCGTATTTCATGTACTCTGGCAGATACAGAGGGTCTTTTGGCACAAGAAAATCACAAAGATAACTATGAATTTAGCTTGCAGGCATGTACAATAACAATTATGCGTATCTAAGATCAAACCTGAAAACTGAAGCACATAAATACCACACACATGCATACGATTTGTCTGTATGCATGTGTTAACTATTCTGAGTACAGCATCTCAACCATTTACTGCAAGCTGGATGAAATCAATCTGATAGATGAACCTCCAATTATGATCAATATCAATATTAGATTATTGTGACTATAACATCTGGAATTGGGGACTGCCATTGTCAATGACATTTAGTAGTTGGAGTCACAAGACCAAAGGCACACCTGTGGTATAGCCATTTCAAACCACACTGGCCAGAAGTTCATCTTTCTTTGGCACTATCGAAAGATAGATCAATCTTCTACAAGACACTTGAAGCCATCTTATCAGGATATTGCACTGGGTTAATGTTCTCATAGATGGGCGCATCATCCTTCTGGTAGGCATCATTGTGATCTGTCAGAAACAGGACCAGTCACCATGCAATGCACGCCATGTTAACTCAAATCTGGTTTCACGTTAGAAGAACAATTTGTCTCTTGTTAAACAATTTTAACAAATATTAATTTAAAGAACCACGGTCGTTTATCCACACGAATAAACTCTTATACGATTTTACATTAAAGTATAGTATAGCATCAATGACGAGTCATATGACTGATACTTACATGCATGCGTACTTTCTTGTAACGCGTCGCTAAGGCAATCGTGAACAAACACATACTGGTCCTGCAATCAGGTAACAGCCAGATAAAGAAATAAGTCATGCATCACTGGTCTTCTAGGGGCAACATGACTTCTGCGAACTATTTTTAAGCAAAGTTCACTATATTTAAGCACATGAAATTTTTTAACGTTGCATATCAATGAAAAATGACTACAAAGTGCACTTAAAAGATGGCCATTATGTGCTATAGATGAAGCTATATATCTTGAACCCTTTTGATTATACAGCATTGATGATTTAATTGATGTGACTAAAATTTATGCTTGAGAGTTCTCTGATAATCATGCAGCTAATTTGCTTGCATTCCAATACTACCAACGTCTGCAAGCCACATCAAAATATATCAATTATATGGAAGCCGTACGAAATAAAATTGATTAAATTTCTCTACGTGCTTCAGACATGGTAAATTTGGGTTTTGATGGAAAAATATAAATAACGTTAAAACTTTGCATAGTTTTCTATAACCTACACATTCAGGATAACATTTATATCGTGAAATGAAGATGAAGATTGCAAACGACTACATGGCTGCTTACTTCTGTTTGCACCATGTGTGCACGATATTCTCGCATATTCAGAACCAATCCAAAAACATCAATCGTTTGCTGCTGTTGAATTTTGTGCAGTAATTGGTCAACCGAGATGAAAGTTCCACTCCTTCCAACGCCAGCACTGCAATGAAGCAAATAATAATAGTAACTATATGCCTGCACACACGTTAGATCAAATCCACACAAAAATATATTGTTTTGCCATTTGAAATGGTAGGAACATGACTGCATATGGCACTCATAATAGTGACCAACTAACAGCTGGTTGACAGGAGACAGACAAAATCGAAAGTGTGACAATGGCAACAGCAAAATTCATGGTCAAAATTAAATTGACATATACAGGTCGCATTGTAAAGGTACATATGTTTGTGTGCTTTTACAATGGTATTACGTGGTTACATATTTGTTATAAACAAGAGTTTTATGAATATCCAATAATTGCCTGATTAATATTAGATATACAAAACAGTGTAACAGAAGATATATACTATAAATTATGACATTGTAATCCACAGCATGACAGAAAAAGCTAAAGAATACAGTGTGAATAATTACAGATAGAATACACAGCTAGTGAGACATGCATGGCCAGGGTTTATAGGCAGTGTAATATTGATTCGGTAATATACATAACCATGCAGTGTATACAATAAATTATATTTAACCTGATCAGCACATTACTAATCAAAAAGATAAATTGATTAGCAATGAAATCAAATTGATTAGCGAGTATTTCATTGGATCTAAAAAATGTAAACATGATTCTTAAAAATGTGAACACGATTCTTAAAAGTGTAAGCATGACCGTTTTATGAGTTGAAAATAATCTGATTTCTATGAAAATTAACGGTCAGTGAAAAATACAATGCATTCCAAGTTACAGCAATAAAATTACTGATTCATAATGAGTTTAATGATAATTTTTAATTAATTCTAAAAGTGTGATATGCGAACCTGGTCACGGCGTACACTGAATATAACAGACAGAGTGACTGGTCACATGTGCTGCTTACCTGCAGTGCACAACAATAGGAGCTGTGTATGCATGTGGAATGTGCATTCGAACAGTGCGCACAAAGTTTAGCAAGATTCTGGAGTTGTCCAGAATGCCAAAGTCTTTCCAATGAATGAAATGAAACTGCTTCACTATGTGTATTTCAGAACCCTTGAAAAAATGTTAGTAGTAAGTGTAGAAAAAGACTAGTAGCAGTTAGTTAATGATTAGTATTATTTAAACCGCCACGTGCATTATGTATTTACTGCTATTGTTACATAAAGTTGTTGAATGCTACATTTTGCATGCTCTTACTCAGAATATAAGTAAACTAAATAATTTCGCTTCACTTCAGATAGTAAACTAGGGAAAGATAGGCAAAGGATATCAACACTTAAAAAAGCAAACTGACAACCAACCAATAAATTTATTCTAGTGAGATTGCATGCCATAACTTGAAATACGTAGGTATTACAGTAAATTTTCTCTTAGATCACTTTACCTTCTCCACTTCAAGGACTCGTATGACATGGTCACTTAGTGTGGACTCTGATACCAGATGTACCTTGATGTCACCGTACCAAACTGTATCGATATCATCGTCAGGCCAGTATTGCTCACACTTTTGCTGTCAAAACGAAAAATATTTATCAGTGCTACTATGGCCATAGCAGGTTTAAATTGCTGCTGCTAGATCACTCCCACACTTTAATTTTAACTATTTAATTTTAACTTTGAACTTTGAAAGCAAAAGTATAACAGGATCTCGAGTAATGATGAAATTGTGATATTTCATGAAGAAATGTTCAGAAACGCATTGTGCATGCACAGATGACAAAAAACGATGTAAATAATTTTTTACATTGTGAGAGATTACCCATTCACGCTTCATATTAAAATACCAACTACATGTAATCATTGAAACAACTTCTTCATTCACTTTCTTAGAATATGCAGATTAGAGCGCACACAAACAGACACACATGCATGCACACACACACACACACACACACACACACACACACACACACACACACACACACACACACACACGCATGCCACGCGCACGCGCACGCACGCACACGCACGCACACGCACACACAGCGCCACGCACACGACACACACGCACGCACACGCACGCACACGGCACGCACACGCGCACGCGCACGCGCACGCGCACGCACACACACACAACACACGCACACACACGCACACACACGCACACACACGCGCACACACACGCACACACACGCACACGCAAGTATGAAAGCATGTTTCATCGTGCTCACGCACATTTCAACAAATATCTAAATAACAGCTCCAAATTTGTTAGGTTTGCTCTACACGTTATTGATATATTGCTATAGTATCATTATAGGTATTATTAAAGGTATCTATCCAAAGTTCATATTTTGAGATATATATTTTCTTGTTCATTTGCATGTACTGCACTTACAAACAAGTGCCGCGGAGTGGTGGGATTCTAGTAAACCCTGTTAGTCCCAAATGTGTTCACATACGCGCCGAAACAGTGGAATGCACAGGGATGGTATCAGGAACCTTCTCAAAGGAACGTTCATTGCAATCGTTATGAAAGTTGCCACAAGATGGCGCGTACGTTTAAGTGTCTTAAGATTAAAGATGGAAGCTCCCATCGTACGTAGTAGCAACACTATTTGCAAGACAGAATAGGTAAGCACTCATCCATTTACCTACGCAAGCCTACAGGCGGAATAGAGAGCTGCCACCTGTAACTAATTAATGCAGGCAAAAACTACACAGTACTATCACCACCACATGCACTGGCAGTGGCCACTGGCAGTGGCATAAGTTACATGTAACACACTGACAGTACACTACAGTTTCTTCAACCAAATTTAGCTTTTGAAATTTCACTGTGACATTGTAGCCTCATACATCCAAGCATGTATAGATTCTACTAGCAAACCGCGCAGTCAAATTCTTTCTAACAGTAAAGAAATCCATGTTTAACCATCCTCTTGAGGGTCAAAAGGTTATCCGACACTTTACTGTTCGCATGTCAGCAGAAAGTACATTTCATGGTCCTTTCAATAAAGCCATAAAAATGCCTAGGTCACCGCTGAAACAAAAAAGTTTTTCAATCGCTCCGTCAGACCATGTCCGCCAGAAAATGTCTAAAATCTGCCCTGTGCCCCATTGACCTTTGACCTGTTACCTCCAATTTCGGCAGAGTGATGGCTTTTCCTACCATGATGCTATACACCGAACTATCACGAGCCTAGGTCGAGCGTTTAGATTTGTGCCGCAATTCTGCATTTCCTCCCTATATCTTAAGTTAAGGAGGGAATGTTTCCCCTTCTTTTACACCTCTTGACCTTTGACCTTTGACCCCCAGCTTCGACATCCCAACTCGTTTTCGGATTACCCCCCACGTCCCGAATATCGTGACCGTACGTCGAGCGGTTAAGATTTGTGCCCAACTGTTGACGGACGGACGCACGGAGGCACGGACAATCATGCGATTCTACAAGCTGCATCTGACTACGTCAGATGAGCTAAAAAACACTTACGCGTCCATGCTCCATAACCTGTGTCAACATGACAACCACCTCAACGTCCTCTTCCCATATCATTCTCCAGAAGTCATTCAGTGTTCGCGTGGTTGGTCCCTGTGTAGCTATGTACTCTTTTTTAAAGTGAGGCCCCTGTTGAAAGAGAACATGCCTTTACTATTAGGTCACAACAAATTCCAAGTGCAGTAAAAAAGTGATATGCGGTATCAATCCTTTCTTGTTTAAGCTCATTGACATTAGTGCATTTTCACTTCTCCATACGCAGCTTGTCATTCTTCCTTCTTAAGCCACTTACTCTGGTGTTTACACAGATTACACGAGTGCTTACAGGAATATAGTCAGCATTGATGTAGTCAGATTCCATATCTCCATCAATCACAGCCAACTTCACACGTGAATGGTCATCTGCAATTTACACAATGGTCAAGTTTTAAATTACATACTACTAATGGGGTTACTGCATAAGGAACACGTGAACACCATCCACACACTTGATAAAATGAAGTTTGGGTTAATCACCATACATACATCGACAATTCATCATGGGTTTATCATTTATTATATTACCTTGTATAGACTTTTCCTGATATTTCTGTCCAAGTCAATCTTTCATGCATAATTAGCCAGCAACAAAATCTTATATGATCCCATAAGCAACATACATTCCTTACATGTACATACGTACGTGCGTGCGTGCGTGCATGCGTGCATGCATATATTCATACATACATACACACATACATACATATATACATACATACAGATATATATGTGTCAGGGGTGAATAATGAAAAAGGAGTTTGACACATATTGGATGATGATTTCACTTGAAATTTCATGAAATGTTTCGGCCTGAGCATATAGAGACACATCATCGATAAATAAAACGTGTGATTGATTTGATTCATATGTCAATATCCATTTACTCTTCATTAGAGCAATACCCAGGCAAAAGCTTAAGTGTATTCTTAATGTGAACTATAAATCCCTGCTGTGCCTCCTGCGAGTTTTCCCCATATCAGGCGCTGTCGTCAGATGTACAATTTATGCACACACATTAATGCCATTGTTCACACCTCATATATAATATATATCAATTGTGAACATATGTGTTAATAAACCTGGTAAAATGTCATGTAAACATTACAAGCAAACATATGGAGGAGGATGCAAGTTGGCTGTTCATTATTTGTCTCAGACAGACCCCAATTATGTTCCTGTTGATATTTCAAACTCACATGGCAAAATGTTGATAAATCGGTTTTTTGACTTGTTGCCTATCAGGTCAGCAGCGTCTTTACTTGGCTGCTTTGCAATAATTGACTTTAAGTCCTAAAACGAAAACACTGGTAACAACCTGTGCATGCTCTGTGATTGGAGGCATATAATTCATCAAGCAGAACAATAATGTATTTCCCTTCAGTTTTTCTGGCTTATATACAGATGAGTGTGTTAAATTTGCTGAAAATATGTAGCATACAACACTGTAAACACCAGTGTATATAGACTTAACATAACTAGCGATTTATCAATGTCATTGTTCTTATTATAGACGGTTATGCAGCTGTGCATTTACTCCTAATTTATCTAGTGATTATACATAACTATACATCATTAACATTACTAGGACATTAAAATAGAGATAAAATTAGAGTACCAACCTCATACTCTTGAGAAAACATTAAATTTGAGTCTTTTTTCATGTTCTGTACATAAGCTGGAAAGATGGACAGAGGCACTGGCCTGAAATACAAAATAAATGCTAACCAACACCTGTGCCAACATACATCATTTTGAATTTATCCACTATAATTACATCATGAGTAATAATAATTTAGTATAGTAATTAATGAGTACTCCTAGGAAATCGTGTTGAAAGCTGTACATTTCTTTGCAGGGATCGAGTGGGGCCGGAGTGGTGCTGAACTTGACTTAAAATGAGTTCAACTTGACAGAGTGAGATTAATTTATAACACACTTCAAAATTGTGACTTGCGAATATGTGGGCAGAGCATTGGCTTTTTTTGATATAGTGGGGAAATCATCACCTGCCATCAATCGGAGAGATTTCACACGTCATGAGAAACCACAAAATATGCTCCTTTACATAAAATCCCATGACAATGACATGTCACCACCAAAACATCTAAGCTGCTGCTTGGTATGTTTTAGTCATCAATCTGGAAAATATTGGATGTACCTAATTGGTTATCTAAATGATCTGTAAGTACGTGTTTATAGTAGTATTATAGTGCCATACCTTTCTCTCACTCGAAAATCTGTCAATGGCTTAGGCGGGATTATATTATCTCTGCATATAAAAATAACAAATAATTAAGTCATCCATCTGCAGTGCAAAACAATGTACAACCATATTCTAACAAATGTGCTGAATTGTAAACAAATTATGAGTCCCTCAGAAAGTTTCAATGGTTAAAATTAATAAATTATTTAGCTTTAGGAATGATGATTACAATAAAACTTCAAAATAAAAGTTGAATAAATTAAGTAAATCACTAGTTTATGTACTTTAGTTACTATTCTACCTTAATCTCATAACAGTGACCCCAATAAAAACATACCCGTCTGACTGGATTTTATGATTCCGACAGTAATAAAATAAGATCCCCAGGACAATGAAGGTCAGCAACACAACCACTAGAATGTAGATCCACCAAGTGACAAGAGTAGTCCAGGTCATTAGAGGTGCGCTTGTGGAGTACCCACACATCGTGAAAGCTCGAACTACAATCCTGTAATGTATTGTGAATAACGAACATCAACTACAGATGCATCAGAACGATAACAGATTCATCTTAGATCATACCTATTGTTTCGTGATGCACTCAGTAAGGCAAACAGAACAGGGGTGTGTGCGTGTATTCAAGCACGTACATAAACCAAATAAACATACTGTGGCCTGGTCGGGCCATTCACGTATGACCTATGACAGTTATACTATATACATATACTATTAAATATCAACATGAAATTGCAGTAGCGATGTCATAATACATTTCGCTCGCATTTTCTGCATTTTACAATGAACTCTGGTTAAAAATGGTAAACCAACATTTATGAAATTCCAGTTTATAGAATGGAATTATTTACAGTGAGTACTTACTTGTAATCTGTATTGCTCCTTAATGGACCATTACAAAAATCTGCAGTATTTTCGTTGTCACATTCCTCTTTACCTATCACAAACTTCTGCTCATCACTGATAGCCTTGTTAATCTTTATTGATCCTAGGAAGTAATATAGGAACACTATTACTGGCAAGAAAGCCACCCAGATAATCAATGTCTACAGACATTATGAAGTAAGCTAATCTGACCAGGTAGGCAAAACTTATTTTAGAAATGGAGTTGAGCGGTCTGATAATACTGCAATATATAGTTGACTGCAAAGGGGTTGTCCATGGCATAGGCACGGATTCAGCAGTTGTGTTATATGTTGGTAACAAGTTGCTCTCACACACTACTGCACATACCAAACACCATTGTAGCATCTTTAAAAAAAATACATTTATTCAAATGTTATTTTAGGGCATTCATGCATACATGCCTTTAGAAGAACCCCATGGGTTCCAACCTGGGGTGGTAGCTTGATAGGGTGCAAGACATTCGTCATTGACAGCATTTCCCCATGTACCTGGCTCTCTCTTCTCTATTTCACAACCGTCTTCTTCGCACACTGCATTGCCTATATCTATAAGGGGAAATGAATGCACATTGTGAACAGTTCAATGCAAAAAAACAGCTAATTCGACCTCATTATTCTTGTAATAGTAAAGGAATAAACACAGAAGACAATTTGGTTTTCACCTGCCAATCTCACTGGCTATCATAAAGTAGATCATACAAATATTGTATTATACTTACAGAAATCTTTATCATCGTGGCAGCCGCTTTCAGTCACAAGAACAGCGTAACTAACGATGTCCCCATTATCATTTTTAAAAGCACTCTGAGAAAAGCTGATAGTGATAGTGGACGTGCTGCTATAGTCTGTATCCTCTGGTGAACTAAGAATTTGGTTACTGTCGGGTACTGGTGGTGCTGCAAAACAAATAAACCTTTATCAGTTACTATTACGATGAACCTACTATATACACACCTAACAATTTACTGGCGATCATAATAATAATTGAATCAATACGTTCGTACAATTAGATGTTTTGCCTACTAATCTCAATGTGCAAGCAGTAACTTTTAACATTAACTCTTCCTTATTGATTATAGCAATGAAATAATATCAGGAATGTATAATATAGAGAGCTATAACTACATAATAAGAAGTATCGATACAAAGTAAAGTGTGAGGGCAAGTTGGATGTATAACGCTAGTTCTGATGTCATTTTTATTGGGTTTCGCGTAATAAATCATAGCTAAATTATGAAATGGAAATGTTTAATTTCTCGTGTTTCGAGAGAGTCATACGTACTCTTCTATATTATACACTCCTGATAATATCATTACAATGTTGCAATATATTTAATTAAACTGCAGCTAATGATTGATGAGCTGCTAAATCACATTGCGATATTTTCCTAATTTTGCGGTCACTTACGTCCAACAGGTGTTATGGTGTATTTCCTTGAGGACCATTTTCCTTCTAAGCTGGTTATTGCTCTCACTCTAGCAGAGATATTCTTGTCTCCATTGACATCTGTTAAATTAGAATAGATTTTTCACACACAAATTTACACATTTTTTACTTTTTAATTATAAATAAGTGCTAGATTATGGATATAATCAAAAGCTAATAATATATTGTTTATAACGGAAAAATGGGGAAAATAGTGCTATTTCACAAGGAAAATTTCTATGCATCAACTATCATCACTGTACCATGTACGTACTACAGTACAGTCACGGCAGTGGCTAATACGTTAGCGTACTTCTACTAGTATACTAACAAAATTAATATAATTCAAAATTGTATTTACAAGAGACTTCGATCCCTTATAAACGATATAGAGAAAGGGAATGATTCTCAAAACATTCTATAAAGGTCACGGATCATACCATACATAAACACGGCAATACAAACAATGTTTCGCTGTCTTTATAGTTAACCAATCTAAAGTGGTTTTTCCCGAAAGGCTACCAATGATTACCAAGTGCCTTTCATGCATGAATTTATCACGGAAACCCCCAACTTCGGACGTGAGGTTAGGCACGAATGACGCATTCAACTCGATTCCTGCATGCCAGTACCTCCTGGATGAGCTAAGATTACAATCCAATATCTCAGTCAAGGAGTGCCGTAGAGACAAGCAGTTGGTTTTGTTTTAGAGAGAAACAAATGATGCCTAAGACAATTAATACTATCAGCTTATACTACATTTGAATTTAAAATAAAATAATCTTGCCATAAAATATAGCACTATTTTCCTGTTTTCTCATTATACACTACGTATTATTAACTCTTGATATTAGCTGTGAAACTATGAGCAGAGTTATCATTGAAATGTTCAACTGCATACCAAGCATAGTGGAGCAATCATCTTTGGGTAAAATTTTGTTTGGTGCCACGACATCATTAACTGTGTATTCCACGAGATATTCTTTAAGTACTCCATGCGTGGATATGGGTTCTTCCCACACCATCTTTACTTCATTATAGCTCGTTGCTTCAAGTAAGGTTATTGTCGGTGGGTCTGAAACTGTACAAAATATGAATTTACAAATCAAATAATATACAGATGAATAAAACTATGTATTTCTCTATTCCACGTTTTCGATGATATAGACACATATGAAGTGGAGGCCTGCATAGCAGGGGCGTGTACAGGATTTGTACCGGGGGGGCGTGAAGTCTATGACCTGTAACCCAAAACATGCGAAGCACGCACTATGGGGCGGTCCAAAAATCTTTGACATAGACCCCCTTAGATGCGTTTCGCCGCGAGCAGGGTCCGACACGCGTGACCCCCCCCCGCCCGTACACGCCCCTGCATAGTCTCTACAGGACAAGGCTCTATACTAGCTGTACTCCATGTGGATTCGCTCAGCTTATGATTTGATGCCATAGAGCTGAAATAGTTACGGATCAGTTACTAGTTTAAACGTATGGGTAGTCTTCACCAGGTTCTTTCTAACTCTGTAAAGCTAAAAATCTGCTTTTCAGCAATTCTTTTTCTTTTTATACTCTTTCTTGCCGAGAGATAACACTGAAATTGGCAAGCTGACTAGCCAGGCAGATGCCGAAATTGTGCGCAGGTGGTGAAGAAAGTGAGAGAAGGTTGATGCTGTTTGGTGGTGAATGTGTCACGGAATCATGGGTGGGCATGGGGAGAATGCTCCATAAGTATTCAGACATATTTGAAAGGTGTTCGAAGGGCATGACTTCTATTTGTGTGGGGTGCATGTCTTGGGATGTGTGCAGGACGCATATTCGTGCATATATGCACGTGCTAATAGGCGTAAAATGTGGAAGAAAAGGGCTTGCGGTAGTATGGGAGGTGGGTCTGATGACAGAATGTATGATTTATATTTTCAATATATATATATTCCTTATCCATGTGCATATCCACACCTCTGTATGCACTCACCATTTTATCTATGGATAATAGTATGTGTGCTTAAATTGATTCGTTAGATTGGACTCAGTTCATCGGAAAGAGAGGACGAATGCGCCAGTGTGTAAGCACGTGGAACAGCTTACAATGTACGTGTGGGATGTTCTGGGCTTGTTCCGTTATGACAAAGGGGTGTATGTGGCCGATGTTGTTCCGGCCTAGAGATCAGGATGGGCTACTCCCACCTTAAGAGTTAACATTATTATTTGAGTCGCTGCCCTGAATAAGGTATGGTGTACGTGGTACTAAAGGCACGTAGACCACCTCTGGCAACCAAATATTGTAAACAATACAAACCTCCAGGAGGCATTTTCTGGGATTCGGTAGCAGTGAAACAGCTGCCGATGGCGTTACTCGTGAAGGCTTGAACTCCGACACAAACATAAGAATCTCCAGTTAGGTTACCTGTAAACAAAGCAAAGGTTTGATATGCCACTTCCGTGGGTATAGTAGATGAAAATTGCGAAACTTAAGGCATCTATGGGTAAGTCAATTTCCTCCGATATAACAGTTGGAAAACAGAAAGACAGGACATGTGTAAATGTGAGGCCATCTGTGCTACATTTTTTCCTTGACACTCAAAACAGAGAATTATGACACAAAGTGCAGCAGAACAATAATGAACGACAACATGTCAGAATTGTGTATAGTACTTATAGTAGGCATACTCCAGTAAGCATTCACCTAATGTCTGGTCTACTAGTTGTATACCAATAAATTCAATCAAATTTCTTGAATAGACTATGAATAGATAGTTAAAAAATCTCTTGTGTTAAAAATGCGATGGCTCCCTTTCTCCTCTTTAGGCGAGAATTTTTTATTTTGTTGGTTTACAGATCCGCCGACCCGAATTTGCAAAAAAAATGAAAAAAATGAAAAGTTGTATTTTTTTATTCCCGCCGACCTTTTCTCTAAGAAATATGAATAAAAAGAATTTAAATGTAAAAAACAAAAACATTTCATAAACAAACTGAGTTTTGTTTTCATTTACTTTTCTTAAAATACTTTAATATCATGTATAACAGTATCACTGTATTTTGACTAGTTTGATCTGACAAAACAACATTTTTTTTTTTACCTTACCGAGTCAACAACAACAACAAAAATTCTGTAAACCAACAAAATAAAAAATGGTGGCCTTACTCTCTTTCCTTATTTTACCCCTGTCAAATTCCCAGTAGTGTTGTTCTTTTGATTTCTTCACCTCGATTTTGCTTATATATATATAGCTCACATTAAAATAAAATGAAAAACCATAATAAAAGCTGCCATGATTAAACCACATTCTCACAATACCACCAGTGAGCTTATTGTCGTTTGATGTTTAAGCACAACCTGCAACATTTTCTGTAGTGATGAAGAGAACTATGCAGAGTTCAACAATAAAGCCATTCACCGGAGACTATAGCATATGTTACGTTTAGTGAAATGCTCGTTATAATGGGTCGCTATAAGGCAACCCAACTTTTTACATGACATAACAGGATTCCACTGTGCCTATAATGTGCTTTACACTCACATCAAATAGATTTACATGTAAGCTTAACATAACTAGGCATTAAGAGGTAAACTGTGCCACTCTTATACATAATACTACTTATACTTACATTGTAATAACGTATATGCATCCAGAAAGGGTGTACACATGGACACGTGTCTAGGACTGTTCAGGAGTGAGGAAGTTTAGAAGTATATCAGTGGAAATATAACTGTGTAAAACACGGAATACAAGGGCTGACAGATGACATATTTCGACTGGCCAAGTACAGGCCAGTACATTCACATAAACACAATGGAATACAACAGTAAAGAACGTTCCACGGAAAAATATATGACTGGGGAAATCAGGGGCGTAAATCCGTACCGAAGAGTGGGGGCAATGATCACGCGAAGGGGGGGTAAGGGGGGCCCTCCCCCAGAAATTTTTAGAAATTAGACCCCCTCAGATGCGTTTTCTGCGCGAGCAGGGGGGGGGTCCGGACCCCCTGGACCCCTCCCCCCCGCGTACACGCCCCTGCAGTAATTGAAATCATTTAGGTCTGCCCATGTCTCCAAATTATCATAATTAGCTGAACTTTCAAGTGGGGCACGGAAGAAGGAGTTGTTTTTTTTAATCTCAGGGGGGGATATTTGTACAGGCCATCCCCCCTCCTACAAGAGCGGGGGGATGCATCCCCCCATCCCCCCGGGATTTACGCCCATGGGGGAAATAAAGTGGAGTAGAATTAATACTGTCTTAGCACCACAATGTGCACAATATCTCGAATTGGCCACTAACTGTTAGTGTTACTAAATTTCTATCAGATTTGCTTTTGGTAGTGTTGTCATAGTATTTACCATATTTGTAGAGAGCATGGGCACACCCACATAGAAATGGCATTTGAATGTTTTCCTAATTTCATACGATGCATTGATGTCTGTATGCAAGGTGAAACTGATATGAACAACTTACCCAATGTATAGCTGGTTTCACTAATGCCATGAACACACGTCCAGTTGCTGGTACCTTCAATCTCATCAATGCACAGTGTCTCTCTGTAATCTATGCAATTGTACCATCTCACAGTGTAGCTTTGAGTCTCTCCTAACCAGTTGCTGTTATTAGGTTCATGCCAATTCAAATCAAGTGTGTCCCAAGTGTCATTGTTCACAGACATGTGCAAATTATATGGTGCCTCTGGGACTGGAAATACAGAAAGAACACACAAAAATTATCAACATAGTCAGCAAACGTGATAAAAATATGTCATAACACAATTTTTACAGCTGAAGATGGATCTTGAAAAGCCAAATTATTTCACACATAACAACATGTACAAGCATTAATAACAGGATGACTATGCATGTTGGAGTAGGGAAAATTGGTCATTCAAAGATTCTTCACGAATTAAGCAATATCTCTGTCCATATCATCGACAAAAATCTGGGTTAGATTGTGTGTATGTCTACCTTTTATGACAGCCATCAAGCAGTGGGGAGTGAGAGGGTGGTTACTTACTTAATAATAACATTACTTTCAACAGAAGGGGTTAAATGTCATAACATTGTAATATTCATAACATTTTACAGGTGCATCATTCGTGAAAAATAATAGGCTATAATATGTTAACTGTACTTTCTATTCCTCCTGCAACCTTGTTCTTTCCTAACTATGCATTCAAGAAAATAACAACACTACAGATCTGTCCTAGCCTCTGTCATAATTGCTCTTATATGAGCAATAATATGCCTGCTGCCTATTATTCACTTGTCCTGATGCCTTCCTGCTTTCATCCCTCGTCCACATATCTCGCCCAGAATCAGCACATACACGCAATTAAGTGGCTGCAGCTTAGGTGCAGTTGTTTTTGCATAGTTTCTTACTGTAACTAACCAATATCAGCAAGGCGAACAATAACGGTAGAGTGAAAGCGGTAATTTAATTTAATTAAAATGAACAATAACTCATATTTTAGGCTTACTATCAGCTTCAGTGTAAGTAGACTGGCTTTCACCAAACTCCCCCTGCCCAGCAGCTGTGCTAGCTGCAACAGAGATGGTGACCATCCGATCTGCCGGTATACCTACAAACAATTAATGAACAAAAGAAACTCTGTGTTTCAAATCAACTCGGTACTAAATAAACACATCTATATACTATAGGTGTATAGATACTGTATGTATGCATATCTACAATACTGGCTATGCGAACAGTAGACACCAGCCATATATTGGAAATAATGTTGTAATGCATAACTGCATTCAACTCCTCCTATACAACAAACTGTTTTAACATTGCTGTTGCTCATATATAGCTGTTATTGTCTGCCTTGTATAATACAATCTGCTACAAAGAGTTATGATTATTATGATAATTTTAACTGGCCTGCAGGTATCATTGTGTAGCCATGGATCTAAATTTCAAAGCAAATTCACTTGACTTTTTCAACCAAAAACCAACCAAATGATTGGCCATTTAAAAGTAGCTCAACAGACCTCAGGAATCTTTGGTGAACTAAAGGTACGTAGGGATAAATTCTGAATGCTATCATTATTGCGTTAGGAATATTAAGGAAAATATTGTATTCATACCTTCCAGTGTCTCACTTGTAGAGTTGGAACTGTAACTGACTATTGTATCATTATCCACTGGTAATCCCTCTCTTTCAGCTGTATATCTTAGTGTATAGTTTAGTATAGCACAGTTTTCTGGCTCGCTGGGTTTCTTCCATTGTACAATCACAGTGTGAGAACCAGTGGCTGATACAGATGATACATCAGCAGTGCTGGGAACTATAAAAAAGAAAAATTCAAGTAATACAGTGTCCTCATTAATTCATCAGCTGTCAGTAAATTAATCTATGAAACAATAATTACCAAATCCTCCCTTGATGCTTATTTATGAAATCAAAATTGTAAAATTCATTTAAATTAAGTAAATTATCTAATAACATTTAGTATCCATTCGTGTGTCTGCTGACCTCCTGTCCCATCATTCATCCATCCACCCACCCACGCATCCATCCATCCATCCATCCATCCATCCATTCCGTCCGTCCGTCCGTCCGTCCGTCCGTCCGTCCGTCCAGCCATACATCCATCCATCCATCCATCCATCCATCCATCCATCCACTCCACCCATCCATCCATCCATCCATCCATCCATCCATCCATCCATCCATCCATCCATCCATCCATCCATCCAGCCATCCACCCACTCAACCCACCCACGTAAGTCCGCTGAGGCTTTCATACCTACTTTACTTGCTGAATATGTCGCTCACTGACGATGTGTCACTTCTGCCTTTCCAATACCGCACACGTGTTGCAGCAACAGGAAGCTGTAGTAACACATGGTTTTCGAGATTCAGGAGAATAAAATATTCCAAATCACAGTCCTCAGTGGCATTTAAATCTACATTAATTAATTGTTCTGATCCGGTTATTGTAACTACACATTAATTGTATACAACAAGATCCCATTTTCTTGCATAGGGCCAATCCAGCTCAAAAGTACTGCAGTAGAATCTCAGACTCTGCGTTCAGATATTGTGAGGCTGCGAAGGTACTGGAATAAAAAAAGATGGCAAGTGTTTACATAATGGAATCAATTGAACAGCTGTTATCACAGTTCATTCAACCCACCTTTCCCCTGGCTGACACATTAGTATATCACACCGTGAGTACGAGTGCATACCGAGGAGCTGATGTAAGGGAGCATGCGGACACGCAAACGATGAAAAGCAGGGCGAGTATATGAGAGGTAATCTAGGGCACATATTGAAGTGCAGAAGAAGGAACGTGGGAGAGGCGAACGCTGGTGAGCTAGGTGGATGCACGAGAGATGATAATTAAGCAGAAACGTTCGGAAAGCATGACAAGAGTGCATAAAGAACAGTTGGATTAAATAACGGGAAACGTGACGGGGCAGATAATGGGTTTCAGTGCACAGCAACCTGTTAGGAGCGCATATTAGAGAAGTTTGATGAGGAAACCGACCAGAAGTACAGTGGTATTGTGCGAGCATGTGGCAGTAGAGAGCATGCACAATAGTGTGCATTTAATATAGAAGCATTAGCAGATGTATGCGGTGGAATTGTGAGGAAGTGCATTAGGATATGAGTTGCGGTAAAAATAAAATGTGCAACAATGATTAAGGCATGGACAAGAATGAGAGGGAACATTAGGAAGAGTATAAGGGTGTATGATGAAAAATGGTAAGAGCAGTATGCATGCAGGTGCTGCATTATGGCAACTGTGAGTACTGGTAGGAGCTAGTGAGCAAGTGAACATATCCATACCAATTACACTAAGCAGCAGCATATAAAACTATCAGTATAGGTCAAGTTAAAAAACAACGTAATTACCATCTTGTGGAGTCTCCACAATGCATTCCGTTGATATTGCTGGTGTCAAAACCTGGTGCTCCACCGTTAGTGGCATTGATAGAATGTGTAATTTGTGTAAGCTCCTAGTTCATCCACACTGAGACTGTGTGTGTCAGCTCCCTCTTCATGTGGTTGTTCAATCACTCAAGTTGTCCTTCTGCCACCATCTGACTAATACGGCTATCGGCTCTTGAAGTTCCTTTCTCACACACTTGTCCAGACTCACTTGACAAGCATATGGAGTAGTACTCGATGACACCATTCGGACATTCTGGTGTTTCCCAGGTCCAATGTGACAACCCCGGGTTCACTGTCATTCACAGTAGCCTGAAATACTAGGCTTGCTGGGATCTGAAATTTAAGCAAGGCTAGTGATTTCATATGACACATGATCAAGAAATTGAGCACTCCACGAGAAAACCGGGTAGTTTCTAGGAGTACATATTTTGGTTTATTTCACATAAAATATTGTAAAGACTTTCATGAAAATACTATAGGCTGCATGACGAACATCTATCAATTTTTGTCGTTGGAAACAACGTTATCAGTGAATCCCTTAAGTTGTGTACAATTTTAAGTGAGTACAATATATCATTATAGCAACTATAGGTTGCAACATCCAGATGAGACGGGATACTAGAGAAGCGTTGCCGAAAGGAGATGTTGATCCCAATTGCGCTGAAGCGCAGATCTTTCGCGCAGTTCCGCGCAAGGCGCACGCGACGCGGGACGTCCTACGACAGTATGCAGCGCTGGCAGCTATGGATCCGTGCGCCGAATGAATTGGCGGGCGCACGGATCCATAGCTGCCAGCGAACAGTCCGCAATTTTAGTGGGGGACACAGAGGGTAGACATTTGGGACGTCAACAGTGTTGACTTGCTATAAAAACTGTAACGGAGTAATCTGTCCGTAACCGAGCTGTGTGACGCGAATCACAGAGACTGTCGAAATTCTGACATTCGCGACACTTGCCCAGTAATGGAAACGGCTGTCAGAATCAGGAACACCTACGCGCGCTCTTCCGCGCCCCAACGCTGCAACGTTTTTGCAACTTCCAATGGCGAGGCTCGTACGGGAGTTGGAAAGCAGTGCGCCGCCTGCCCGCCGCCTATAGCCCATAGACTGGCACTCTCTCGCACCTCTCGGCTTAGCTTAGTCACTCAATGGCTAATCGAGGTGGGAGCGAGTCCTAGTCTATATATAGCCTTTGCACCTCGCAACCTTCTTGAAAGAGAGTAGGTCTATACTAGAAACATTAACAATTTCGTAGTAAATAGATTTCGTATTTAGTTAGCATTATATTTTATTGAAACGCTTCAAGTGCCTGTGTCTAGTATAGCCTAGGGTATTCTAACCCTAGCAAGAGAGCGTTTCTTGCTAGTCGTATAGTAGTCTAGTAGTACTAGTGGTTCAAGGATAGAGAACATGGCTCCCAATATTATATGGGCCCCAATGTATGGCATGGCCAATAAAACCAATGTCATTTACATCAATCTAAATATAATATTATATCAATATAATACTAATAGGTTAGGGTTATGGTTAGGGTTCGTCATTATTAGTAAGTTAGTTAATACTAGTAACAGAGTTAGTCATTATTACTATTACTATTAGCTCCTGCGGTCCTGGTAGTTACTAGTACTAGTACTAGTAGTGCTGGTAACTTAGTAGTACTACTACTACTAGTACTAGTAGTAGTAGTAGTAGATACAATAATGTAACCCAAACCCAAGCGGATAGGGATAACCAAGATATAACCAAACCCTATCCGCTTGGGTTTGGGTTACATTATTGTATCTATAGTAGTAGTATATAGTGCGCGGTCGGGTAACAACGCATCTTTTGCGCAACGCCATCTTGTACACGGTCTCTAGTGCCGCTAGTGGCTCAGTCTAAACGAACTGATGATCAGTGTGTGCTGTACGTGCGGGCTTGATCTTCCTGCCAGTGGCTGCATGGTAATATGCAAAAACGGCAAAACGGGCTAGAGTCTGAGAGGAGATGCGAGCGCGGGGTCAACAGGTTCATAAGGAGAAGGAACATGGCTACGATAATGAAAACGCGACGTCACCATTCGAGTTAGACTGGTACGGACGTTAATTCGGGCAAGTCTGTTTCGCTACACTAAAGTTATAGTTAGTGGAGCGTGTGAAACTCTGGACCGCGGGGCAGTCTCAGGAAATTCCTGTGCGAAATGCCTCGAAGAGAGCCTCGTGGCGCGATCTATGGGCCGCGATAAGTACGAGAATAACTTCAGGGCGTTAAATAAAATAAATTAGAAATCGCTTTTATAGAAAAAAACGAAACGCGCAAACCAAACAAAGTACGAAATACCACCATTGGATTTATTCTCGCACTACGTGCAAAGTCGAAACGCTTCTGCAATGGCCAGAACTGCTGAATTGACCGATTCTCGGCCTTTCTCTAGTACCCAGAAGGGATTCTGGTAATAAGATTTACATAGAGGGCAGCGATTAAGTCATTGTGGCGCCACAGGTGGCGCTGTTCGCGCTTCGCGCGTAAATCCGGCTGCAGTTTGTCAAGCATGCAATATCTAACAATACTTGGCGGGTAACAGCTGGGTCATTTCACATGCTGAGAAAATGTTAGAGTATCACAGTGGAGACAACAATGTGAAAAAGAGTTTATGTTGACACATTTGCCCACCAACAAAAAACCTCAATAGTGGGGCAGATATGTAACAAAAATAGGTCGAAATGTTCACATCCGGCAGAAAGTGTGAAATTTTGCATACAGGGGTATTTTGACATGCTGAGTTCGAAAATTGCTGGATCCAAGCGGTCTGACCACTGGATCGGCCGCCATCTTGAATTCCAATATGGCCACGATAACGAAACATTGAATAGTACTATCTTGGGTTCTAAATGACCTGTGGCGCTGAAATTTAGTACACAAGAGCATTTCGACATGCAGAGTTTAATAATGAATTAATTCAAAATGTCTGACAAACCATATGGCAGCCATTTTGAATTCCAATATGGCCACCATGACGAAATATTGAACATTACTATCTTGGGTTCTAAATGACATGTGGCGCTTATATTTGGTACACAAGAGCATTTTGCCATGCTGAGTTCAATAATGGATTGATTTGACATGTCTGACAAACCATATAACAGCCATTTTGAATTCCAGTATGGCCGACATGACGAAACATTGAACATTACTATCTTGGGTTCTAAATGACCTGCAGCGCTGAAATTTGGTACACAAGAGCATTTTGCCATGCTGAGTTAAATAATGGATTGATTTGATATGTCTGACAAACCATATGGCAGCCATCTTAAATTCCAGTATGGCCGACATGACAAAATGCTGAAAATCTTAGGTTCTAAATCACGTAAGACACTGAAACTTGAAACTCAAGGAATTTTTTATATGC